AAAAAAAAAAAAAAAAAAAAAAAAAAAAAAGAAAAAAAACATCCCACAACGAGTACAAGGCGCCCATCATTTCTCAAAGTCTCGAGTGATTCACCGATCCCGTGCAGCGGGTTACGCAAACGTTACACAATTACGAATCCTGCCGGCGAACCGCTCTCTATGTATACATATACATATACATTGCACCATTTCTGAAAACGGCAATCAAGTATCGACAACTCATCTTATCGGTACAACAGCTCTCCATAGGGTTACAACTCACCAGTCCCTCTGATGCACCTCGGGTACTACAGGTATAAAAAACGTAGGTAGGAAGGAAGGAGAATATACAGTGAGCCGAGCAACAATGTAACGCGCAATGTAATACACATTTATGTATGTATATTTAATGTACACTCTGACGTGCACCTGTATATGTACATTAATGTATTTCTGGAGCTACAGCCGTGCGGGTCTTGGCTCTGGCGCGGCCTCGATCTAAATTCACGATTGTCACAACAGCATCGGGGGAACCGCTAAACGACAGTCGCGTGTCGGGATATACAACTGTACCTACTTTTTCTTCTTCTTCTATTTTTCTCCCTTCTCATATAATGTCTACTCTCGATGTATACATATATTGAAAACAAACGTACATCTAAAATCTACATGGAGAAGAGGAGGAGGAGGAGAAAGAAGAGCGCGGGGGTGGCTAATTTCATCCGAGACATGGGGGGCTCGCCGGCGGTCGTCCCGCAAATCAGAGCGTGAACTCGCGCCGTGTGCTGCGACCTGAGAAGGTCTTGGCGACCCGGCTGGAGGTACGTATTATATAAAATAGAAAAGCAAAGGGGATATATACATATAAATATATGTATATTTACGTGTACACAAGCAAGCGGGCCTTGTTCTCACGGGCATGAAAAGTTGGCCATCCGCTCGGATGGTGGACCTTTGCGATCGTGCAGCCGCGGAAGATAGGAAAGACGATCTTGTCGTATAATTGTTATTGTCTTGTGAGCTATTGCGGAGATTCGGATTATTGGCTTGCCATATATTCGGATTATTTTCTTCCTCTACTTTTCATCCCAAAGCGCGTAGAAAACGTTACGCGGTGTTGCGTTGAGTTTCCATGATTGCGAGCCGATCTTTTAGTATACCCTCCTATTAAACGAATCGTCCAATTATTAACTGACGTATGCTTCTCTCTTATTTCTTTAATCTCCAATTATGCGTTATCTATACTTATATTAGACGTCCACGCCTCGATGATAGATATATACGAGGAGGGCTTCATTGGGACGGTTTTTTTTTTTCCTACATTGTTTAGCTTGTTGTTGATTTTTTTTATTTTTTGTTTTTATTTTTTTTTATATCTCGGAGCAAAGAATGAAAATTACATTATTTTTTCATTCGGTGCGGAAGCTATTCAATTTGTAGCTGATGGCCGTGCTTTAGCGTTAAATGAAAGAAAGACAGAAAAAAACTGCAAAAATAGATAAGGTGTAAAGATATACAAACGAGTTGTCAAGGAAAAATAAAATTATTTTTAGAACAACACGCAGGTGGATATCGCGTAAAGAGTTTGGAATATGACTGAAAAAGTTAAGTGCGGGGACAATAACTATATATTGTACATAAACCATTGTTCCCGAATGATCGATCATCTTCGCAAACATAATCAAACGGACATGAAAGATGATGATTTTTTTTTTTTTTTTTATCAGCGAAGCAATTAAAAAATTTCGTCATTACCGATAATCATATAGTTTTAACCGAGGCATTGGGGGAGCAAACATTTGCCAAGCGACAGTAAAAAACCGAGCGTCACACTATACGGTATGGGTGTTCGCAGAAAACTTGACGATCGGGTGCTCTTAATGACACGTATCACCTAAACGCCGCGATCGTAAAAGTTATTTCGAGACCAAAGTGTACACCTACACCCGCTCGCGGAAGGAAAAAAAAAACAAATCGCTTGTTTACGCCGTTTCGCTAAAACAATCGGCCGATCGAGAGCCAATACCGCCACCGGCCTCACGCCGATTTACATATCGGCGAGCCGTGCAGTCCGCGCTTACCTAATCCGATTGTTTCGCGAGAGAGATCGACCTCTGAGTGGCTTGTTATTATTATAATTTTTTTTTTTTTTTTTTTTTTTGTTTTTTTTTTTTTTTTTTTTTTTTTATTATTGTGATCGTTAAGGTTTCGATGATAAAGTAGTTGTATGTTTCCATTCCATACAATTGTGAAAAACGGTGTACATGTAATGATGTAATGCCAAAAATGTGTGCAGGTATTTTTGTCCACGTAACAATTAAGTGTTGCAGTGCTCATTTTAAATGAGTAACAGGAAATCATCTTACTTTTTTACGTTTGTCGTGAAAAATCGTGATGTTTTGTTAATTTGTTATTATCCACAACAACAACAACGACACACGTCTTTATCCCCGTCTTAATGTCTCTGAAATGGGATGTATTAATGTATATTAAATAAACATGATATTCAATGCTTTGAGGGAAATGGGAGGTGTAAGTTCAAAATGAATGAAAATAAAAATAAATCTCGGTCGACGCAACCAACGTCTGATGCGTGTATTTTTTTTTTTTCCTCCTCAAGCGCTTGCAAGTGAAATGTAACTGTAAGAAGATTTTACGGGAATCGCGCGATTTACAACTTGATCTCGAAACAAGATAACGTTTATTCGCGCGCATGAAAAATTGCTACGAGATCGTATTTTAAAACCCATCGTGTCCACGAGCAAAAATAAAAATTTCAACGATTGAAGGATATTAATAATTTATGTAATTGATCAAAAAAACGTGTATTTGAGGAAGAAAAAAAAAAGATCTCGAGCTCTACTTCTTAAACAAAAAACAATTAAATGGTTGCAGTAATAGTATAGTAGTAGCGAGGCACGCACAATCAAACAAACGAACGAAAAAGAAAAAGGCATCATCAGCACTTGATGTTTTATATATGTTGAATGAAGAAAAAAAAAAAAAAAAAAAAAAAACTCTCAAGTCATATCCACGTGTGTGCATCGTTTATACCTCCTTCTCCTCGGTAGCGACGGTCGTGTACGACCGCGGTAGCTCGGCTTCCTTGGCCGGTCCCAGCGCGTGGGTGTAGATAAGCGCACCTGCCACTCCACCGAGAATCGGTCCAACCCAGTAGAGCCAATGGTCCGGATAAGCACCTTTGACCACCGCGGCGCCTAGAGCGCGTGCCGGGTTCATACCCGTGCTCGTACGCGGGATCTGAAATTTTTTTTTTTTTTTTTTTCAGATTACATACTCGCTGAGCTCTCGTATTCTAACTTTTCGATTTTTTTTTTTTTTTTTAACGACCCGGAAATCATATTATAAATATTAAACTTTGGCGACTTATTTGACAAATGATTACTAAAATAGCTAACTGTTTAATGTATATTAAAAACAAAGAAAAAAAAAAAAAAAAAAGCTTTTGTTTAAGTTCGTTAGAATTGATGCGAATGACTTATTATAAATGTACATTGTTTTTCGGTAATACAATTATTGTGTAATATTGTATGTAAAATGAAATGTAACATTGAGTAAATAATTATTACCTTAAGTTCTAAATTAAATAAAAAAGTGTGGTGTGCATTGCATAAAAAAGTCAGTGAAAATCATTGCTCCTATTTGCCTTACAATCCCATTTTAGATAGATACTTTTACACATTATAAGTTGTAAAATTACATACATAATTTTAGTTTAAAAATGTTTTTTTTATTATAAGCAAAAATGCATCAAATACAATAATAAAGCATATAAATATATGAAGAGTAGTGACATTTAAAAAACGTATTTTACAAAGGTATTTATTACGACATTGTTTAAATTCTTACTTGCACTATTTCGTGATATCGAACACAATAAATATATAAATGATTATAAATTAAACATTAGTGAGTAATAATGATCTATTCAATAAAAAAAATCCATAAAATAAAACAGGACGAGGTCATAATACAATGTGATAACTCATATTAATCTACATACTCTGGTACTGATATAGTATGAATTATTAGAGTAGTATAATATATTGAGCAAATACGTACTTGAAAGAGTAAAATTTTGGTAAACAAATTTCAAATAGCTTCAACATTATACTTAATTGTACGTGAACGATTATACAAAAATATACACGTTATGCGAGAATAATATTTGTAACTTTGAGAAATATACTAATTACCTATAGCAAATGGTAATTTTTTTGTCCATCAGTGTTATTTCGCCCCTTGAAAAAATGATTGATTTCGATTAATTCGTAAAAATATTTGTTACAGCAGAGATGACACGTTCATAAGTATACATTATATTATTATATTTTAGTGGTTGTAATGATAATTGAGTTGAAGATTTACGCTGCATCATTCAAAGTGAAACTTACCAGATGAATGACATGAAAAAAAAAAAAAAAAAAAAAAAAAAAAAAAAAAAAAAAAAAAAAAAAAAAAAAAA